AGAAGAGAGAACAAAGGTAGAGCTTTCTCTCTGATCCTGTAACAGCCTTCTAAAGGCTTCTGTCACAATAATGGGGCCTTGAGGTTCTGCAGGTGCTGAGGGGGCCCCAGGGTCACAGAGCCCACAGGTACCGAGATGGGGTAGAGAGGCAGAACTGCCTGGCGCCAAAGCCTGCCATGTCCTGTGCCACCCCCTTTTCAGCCTGACAGGGCACAGGAGCACAGGAACTGCATGTCAAATGGCTTTATTTGCCTTCCTGGGGATTTTAGATTCCTTCCCTGGAGTAGGTGACAAGAGTCTGGGATTTGCCCATAGGCCTGAGAGCAGGTGTTCTTCCGCCTCCTGGTTGGCAGCAGGTCCATGATTGTCACAAAGCCCGGAACTGGACCTAATAACAGGATCTGTGGCAAGGGCAGGGGGTAGCATAGCAGATAAAACGGGGCATCCATCAATGAATTCAGGGCCCTGCTTTCATCCTGACTGACCCACAGCCTTCAGTCTGATACAAGGGGCCTACCCCCAGCCATGGGGAGCTCAACTTCAGCTGGGTTTTTCTGGGGCTGGAAGGAAAGGGACAACCCCAAGCTCTCAGTCAATAAGTGTGGCTCAGAGAGAACCTAGCTCTCAATCCCTAAGGGCCAGTTCATTTTCGCCAGCTCTGTCTGTGATAAGGGAGGAGAGGAGCCCCATTTTAGAACCAGAGAAATTAAGGTAGTGAGAGCAACAAGGAGTACCAGGTATAAGCACAGACTTTGCCGGAATCACAGCCTCAGCATTTGCCAGCTAGCTGCATGACTTCAGGCAAATGGTTGACTTCTTCAGTCTGCGGATTATGATAGTATCTGCCTCAAAGAAGTAAAAGGAATTAAGGAAACAATAGCTCAGCACCACACCCACAGGAAGGACTCAATAAACCTTGGCTGATCCTAAGCACATTCTCTGTTAGCTTTGACAACAGTCCTAAAAGGTCTTGGAGTGGCAGCAGGCTGTGGGGTTGGCCCTCTGCCCAGGGCCAAAAACTTTGTCATCCTTGACGTCTTTCTTTTACATGCCACAGTTCATCAGCAAATCTTGCCTTCAGTATGCATCCGGAGTCCAACCTTTCCTACTCTCTCCATGGTATCGCCTCAATCCAAACTACGATCAGCTCTTGCCCAGATTATTGCAAAGGCCTCCCAGCAGGACTGAGGGCTTCCATCCTTACCCCCAAACCCTGCCCCCACCCTACCTAACTCTCTATAGTCAAAGGGGTCCTAATAAAAGTCAGGTTGTAGCACTCCTCTTTTCAAAACCCTTCTGTTTCCTAACACATCTAGAGTTAACTAATGTCTTTATTTATTCAGTGATCATTTATTATTGAGTACCTACTATGTGCCAGGTACTGTTCTAGGCATTGGAGATAAAGCAGAGAACAAAACAGATAGAAACCTGCATTCTGGAAGCCTACATGCTCATGGGGGAAGGACAATAAACAAATAAAACAATGTTTGGTGTTCTGGAGAAAAATAACTCAGGGAAGGGCAGGGGCCTTGGATTTTAAACAGGATGGTCAGGGAAGATAGAATGGACAAAGTACAGAGTAAACAAAAAGCCCCAAAGTGGAAAAGGTGGGAACCAAGAGGCAAAGGAGTCCAGCCATACGCCCCTTAAAAACAGGGATTGTTCTAAGAAATGCATCTTTAGGCGATTTCATCATTGTACAAACATCATAGAGTACACTTACTCAAACCTAGATGCTATAGCCTACTGCACACCTAGCCTACCACCCTCATATGTGAGGTCCCTTGTTGACTGAAATGTCATTATGCAGCTGTGGACGAAAGGGGCTACATGCTGACCTGACAAGCTCAGGGGAGGCCTGCATAGCAGTCTTGCATACTCAGAGACCTAAAGTAACCACAAAGATGGTCTGGAATTCAACTTTAACTAAAAGCAGTTATGGTGGGCAGTTACATCCTAGGCCGGTATCTTCACTGACAAGGTCAACCTTTACCTTAACTGAGCCTATCTGTTTTTTTGCATCTATAACATACCCTTGAAATGTCTGGGTAACTTGTAACTTCCTTTTTTCTGGAGCCCCTGGGGCACAACCAAATGTGCTGGGCGCCAGGACAGATACCACAAATTCCTTCATTATCATGTTAATTAATCCTGCACCCAACTAAGTATGTGTCCATCATTTTACTTTTTATCCAATCCCAGGGGTTTCCCCTGCTTTGCTTTATCCCTCCTCCTTAATCTATCACCAATGAATTTCATGTAACCCACCTACGTCCCTCCTTTGAAAGCAAATGTATAAATACAAATGTAACCCTGCCATTCCCCGGAGCATGATCTCAATTCATTGAGGTTCTACTTCCTGGCATATGTCGACAGTTTGGCTCAAATAAACTCACAAAAATTCTTTACAGGTTTCAATGGTTTTTACGTTAACACAGCCCATGATTGCATTCTAGACCAAAGGATCAGCCAGGGCAGAGGTGGCAGTGTTCCCTGTATATTTCAGGCGCACTGAGAAAGCCACTGTGACCATAGTGGAAAGTGTGCATAAGGGGGAGAGGGGATCCACCTCAGGGGCGGGGGAAAGGGGCAAGGTTGAGTCCTGTTTTTTTTCTGTGATCAAAATTGGAAGCCAGTGGAGGTTTTGAGCGGAGGAGTGACCAGAGTTTTAAAAGGTCACTGGGGCCACTGTGTGGAAGACCCTGGGAACAAGGGCAGGGTCAGAGAGAAGGTTTAGGCAGCTTTGCAGAAGTTGCGATAAGATGCCTTGGACCGGGAAGGAGGTAGCAGCACAGGTGGTGTCAAATCCCAGCTGGCTTGTCTCTGTGGATAGGGCGTCAGTCTGTGGACTGAAGGGTCCCGGGTTTAATTCCAGTCAAGGGCACATGGCTGGGTTGCAGGCTCGATCCCCTGGGGCGTGTAGGAGGAAGCCAGTCGATGATTCTCTCTCATCATTGTTTTTCTCTCTCCCTTCCTCTCTGAAATCAATAAAAATATACTTTAAAAAAAGCCTTACAATATAGTCCAGCCCTCCTGATGGGGTCCCTCTTATTCCTCCAAGCTCACCTTGTTCCTTCCTATATCCCCAACCCCACAGACCACTGCTTGGCACATATAGGCGTCAATGATCAAATTAACCAATGATTCATCCCTCGATCATCATCACCTATTTTTAACGATAGGCATATAGTCAGAACTCAAATGTTTACAGATAGAATGCTGCACCGTCCCGCCAAGCCCAGCTGGCGAGTCCTCTTGGCAGCTGAGGAAAACTGAGGCTCAGACTGGGGGAGTGTGCCCCTGGGGTCCCTCCTTCCCAACCTTCAGCTGCTAGGGTAACTCACATGGACCTCACAGGAGCTTCCCTCAAAACGCCCCGCCCCGCGGTGGGGAACAGCCGAAACCACGTGGGGCCAGAAGGTCACGAAGTCCTGGAAGTCCTGGAAGCCCCGGGGACTGTCCTCCCATAGGCCACCTCCCACCCCCGGGCTATAGAGACAGAGGGACAGAAGGGCCGCCCTCGCGCTGCCGAGGCCCCGCCCCCGGCC